ATTTTTTTTTTTTTTTTTGTGGGGCTGGGGAAGGGGAATAGTGGGGATTGAACTCAGGGGCACTCCATCACTGAGCCACATCCCCAGCCCTATTTTGTATTTTATTTAGAGAGAGGGTCTCAGGAGTTATTTGGCATCTTGCAATTGCTGAGGCTGGCTTTGAACTCAAGATCCTCCTGCCTCAGCCTCCATTGCTACTGGGATTACATACAGACTTGTGCCACTGCCCAGATAGGATTTTTTTAAAAGAGTAGTTTACCCCTACTTTAAGACAGATTGCCCTACATATAACAGCTACATACAAAAAAAGTTATACAATTGCCCTTGGTTTTACAATGATAAGTGAAAAACTTTAAAATTTTCCAATCGAACAAGGTATGCAAGTATTTTTATGCTATCCAGGGTGCTTATTTTGTTGTTGTTGTTGTTAAAACAGTGGGAGCAAAATAACTTACTGGAATATAAAGATAAGAGCTGAATGAGCACGCCACTAACAGATAAAGGGGATATTTTCACAGAACCAGTATTTTCCCCATCCATCTCCATTGGATGTCAATCAAAACATATCATTGGCCATTTAGTTTTTTTAAATGCAATATTCTTGTGCACATACACCAGTTACTTTATGTACAATAAAGAAATGGGTAAGTGGAAAATGAAAGAATAGAAAAAATGTACTGTGGTAGTCAGGATGAGGTGGAACCAATTTGCAGTTTTGCAATTGAGAATGTGTTCTTGATCTGTAAGAACAGAGAGAACTCTGGATTAAAGTGGCTGGTTCCCTTTTTAGTAGACACCTCCTGTATGCTGCTGGAACATATCAATTACATCTTCATCCTCCCTTTCCAACTGTGCAGGTGTCTGTTACATTAATTGGCTACCCATCAAATTGGAATCTGATCTGCCTCATTGACACACCCTGTCATTCACAATAGGCTTTTCATTAGTTCACTAAGAGGCTCTTAATCTTAAACTGCACCACAGAACCATCCTGTCCTGCAGGATGGTTCTGTGGTGCAGTTAGTATGATGGTTGTTCTCAGTCTTGACTCCTTCAAGTTAGTATGATGGTTGTTCTCAGTCTTAACTCCTTCCTTGGGCCTTTCATCAGCCATGGAGAGCGCCAGAGTCTCTTCAGCTGCCGCTTCACAAAAGAGGTATCAGGCCCACTCCTAAGGAGCACATCAGAAGTTCTGGGAGTGACAGAAGGAAGCCACAGTGGTGGATGAGGGAGAGGACATCCTCATGAGCTCCCTCGCCCCACTCTGCATGCTGGGACCCTGTTCTTGTTCTAATGTGACATAAGGTGGTTTGATTATTTGACACTGCAGAATCACCAGAGTTGATGACTAATACTTGTGGCTTTTCAAATATATTTCTTTTTCCTACAAGCAGACAGGCAAACTTGGGATAGGTTATGGGAACACTGTTCTCGCTAGGAAAAGGAGAGCTGTGTCCATGTATTAATGCTTATCTTCAAAGCAAATATGATCCCTTTTACGTTCTGCTGCTCCCAGTGTATGTCTTAAAATCTTCTTGAAGTTTCTCCCAGACTACAGCATCGTACAGGTACTTTTCTTGTTAGCTGTGCTTGGCAAGCTATGGAATGACTGTCAGATTTATATGCAGCCAGCTTCCTGTTGATGAAGATAAAGATGGTCTCTGGTTAGTTACTTTGACAAAAAGAGAACGTTGCAATAACCATACATGTATGAGCCTCTAAACAATTTCCTAGAATAAATTGCTGTGCAAATTGATACAATTTAAAAGTGTATCATTTCATCTAGGGCAATGTTTTGTGAAAACTTGTAATTGTTAAGACCCAGCATGGGCAAGGGAAGTTGAAACTCTTACTATAGTAGGAGTGCAAACTGGTACAACTTTTCCCAAGAAGAACATGACAGTATTCATTGTGAGTGTAAAAGAGAATTTCCAGTGGAGAATACATTCCCAATACATGCTTGAAATGTATCCTCCCTGGGAGGATAACAAATAATTCCATAAAACTTTTTATCTTGAGTGTGTGGCTAATACTAGAGGATGCAGGCTTGCACGGGGGAGACAATTTATGCAGTCTATAGGATATATTTTAATTGTTTGATTATTCAATGGGATAGAAGAGGGGTGTTAACCACTGACCCACATCCACAGCCCTTTTTGTATTTTATTTAGCGACAAGGTCTCACTAAGTGGCTTACTTAGAGCCTCACTAAATTGTTGAAGCTGGCTTTGAACTTGCAATTTTCCTGCCTCAGCCTCCAGACCTGGTGGGATTATAGGCATGTGCCACCACACCTGGATCTCTTCTATTTTTAATTGGCTGAGGCTTTAATTTTTATTCTCTTAAAAAAGTGGACTGATAACATTGTGTTCATTTGTCATGTACACTGTATTGCTTGAAATATGTATATTTATTCCAGTCTTCCTATCTATCTTTATCCTATTAGGTTTTCCAATAGGCATCCTGTTCATAAAGTCCCATCAGACTATCTGGATTGGTCTCTGCTGCAGCTGTTGGACCCTTACTTCCCGCTATATGACCAGGATTGCCACAGCTGCCCTGTACAGGTCAGAATTTTACAGTGTTCCCTGGGCCAGAGCATAGGGCAACTACCAAGATCTGCACATCTTTTTCTGTGAGCTCCTCTTTGTTTCTTTATAGCTGCTCTAGTTGATCCAATTCTGCAATTGCTTCCTATGTTTTTAGTGGGGCAAGACAGGGGCCTGTCTCTTGTGAAAGGCTCCAGAATGGTGGTGAAGCTGATGTCCACCTCCACTTCACATTTTCCACTGTACAAACCCTGTTTATAGGGGTATGTGCTGTATGTGGTTTCATGTCAGTTGGGGAAGGGACAGCATGGGAAAAGCAAACCATTTCTCTCACTGTTTGAATCCTGCTTTTCTTTTTTTAAGTTTGGGGATTCAATAATTTTGTTTTATTTATTTGTTCTAATTAGTTATAGAGGACAGCAGAATCATTCATTGTAAACAAATGGAGCACAATTTTGAGCTTCTCTGATTTATACACAAAGGAAGATCACACCATTTGTGCAATCCTACATGTGCCTAGAGTAGTTTCGTCCTTCCCACATGTTTCCTATTCCCATGGCCCCTCTCCACCCCTCCCTCCCCTTTGGCCAATCCAAAGTTCCTCCACTTATCCCATGCCCCCGCTTCCATTATGAATTAGTACCCACTTATCAGAGAAAACATTTGGCCTTTGGTTTTGAGGGATTGGCTTACTTCGCTTAGCATGATATTCTCTAACTCCATCCATTTACTGGCAAATGCCATCATTTTATTCTCATTTACTGCTGAGTAATATTCCATTGTGTATATACACCACAGTTTCTTCATCCAATCATCTATTTAAGGGCATCTAGTTTGGTTCCACACTCTAGCTATTGTGAATTGTGGTGCTATAAACATGGATATGGCTCTATTACTGTAGTATGCCGTTTTGAAGTCCTTTGGGTATAGACCAAGGAGTAGAGTAGCTGTGTCAAATGGTGGTTCCATTCCAAATTTTTAAAGAAATCTCCGTACTAATTTTCAGATTTGTTGCACCAATTTGCAGTCCCACCAGCAAAGTATGAGTGTGCCTTTCCCTCTACATCCTCACCAACACTTATTGTTGTTTGTATTCTTGATAACTGCTATTCTGACTGGAGTGAGATATAATCATAGAGTAGTTTTGATTTGTGTTTCCCAATTACTGGGACATTGAACATTTTTTCATACATTTACTGATTTACTGTATATATTCTTCTGAAAGATGTCTGTTCAGCTCCTTAACCCGTTTATGATGGGTTGTTTGGATTTTTTTGGTGTTAAGTTTTTTGAGTTCTTTATATATCCTGGAGATTAGTGCACTATCTGATGTGCATTTGGTAAAAATTTGCTCATACTTTAGGTTCTTTCTTTACTTCATTGATTGTTTCTTTTGCTGAGAAGAAGCTTTTAAGTGAATCCATACCATTAATTGATTCTTAGTTTTGTTTCTTGTGCTTAGGAGTCTTGTTAAGGAAGTCAGGGCCTAATCTCACATGGTGAAGTTTTGGGCCTACTTTTTCTTCTCTTAGGCATAAAGTCTCTGGTCTAATTCCTAGGTCCTTGGTATACTTTGAGTTGAGTTTTCTGTATGGAGAGAGATAAGGGTTTAATTTCATTTTGCTTCATCTAGTTATCCAGTTTTCCCATCACCATTTGTTGAAGAGGCTATCTTTTCTCCAATGTGTGTTTTGGGGGCCTTTGTCTACTATGAGATAACTGTATTTATGTGGGTTTGTCACTGTGTCTTCTATTCTGTACCATTGGTCTACATGTCTCTTTTGTTGCCAACATCTTGCCGTTTTTGTTACTATGGCTCTGTAATATAGTTTAAGTTCTGGTATTGTGATGCTTTCTGCTTCACTCTTTTTGCTAAGGATTGCTTTGGCTATTCTGGGTCTCTTATTTTTCCAAATGAATTTCATTAGTGCTTTTTTATTTCTATTAGGTATGACATTTTAATTTTTTAAATTTTTAGTTTAGATGGACACAATACCTATATTTTACTTATTTATTTTTATGTGGTGCTGAGGATCAAACCCAGTGCCTCATGTGTGCTAGGCAAGCACTCTAACATTGAACCACAAATGCAGCCCATGATGTTGGGATTTTAATTGGTATTGCATTGAATCTGTATAGCGCTTTTGGTAGTATCGCCATTTTGAGACCATTAATTCTGCCTATCTAAGAGCATTGTTGCAGGAATGGACGAGGCAGGGCACTGAAGATAGCAGGAAACAGTTTTATTTGGCTGCATCCAAGTTCAGAGGGTACAGCTTTCACTGTAATCAATTAATCCCCTGAACCCTGAGTTCAGGTCATTTCAGAACTTCATATGCAGCATGTAAGGGAAGGGGCTCAGGAGCTCACAGTCTGCAGAAGTTCACATGAAAGCAGATTTTTCTTTTACTCTTCTGGGCAAGTTAACCCTTCAAGGACAACACCTGAGAAGGGGAGAGCTTCTTCTCCACTTTCTTCCCTCCTCCTGCCAGATGTTAACATGGAGCCCTGTTGGTATCTTCTCTTATCTTAGAAATGTAGACATCTCCATAAAACTCCAGCTCAAGGCCAGAGGCCTTGTTAAATATCTATCTTTTTTTTTTTTTAATGCCCCAAGACACTACTTGGGGTATGTGTTTTATTTTGCCTTTGCAAACACTTTCTACAAACTACTATACTGGATAAATATTTGTGAAAAACTTGTAAAGTTCAGCACCTGGAGTGCTGATTTCTTCCATGTCAATGGCCAAGTAAAATTGAGCAACTGGAAAATAGGAAGTTTACGTACATTGAACTCTTTTGTAAAGTCTCTTTTGCTGGTAGTCCTAAAATCAATTATGGTGAAGATTTCTGGAGAAGCTTGGTTAAGCTATTCTGTGGAGGAGGGGGTGCCACTACAGCATGGAAGAGCTTTCCATCTTCTAAGGTCCTCTTCAATTTCTTTCTTTAGTGTTCTGTAGTTTTCCTTGTAGAAGTCTTTCATCTCTTTTGTTAAATTGATTCCCAAGTATTGTATTGTATTGTATTTTTTGAGGCTATTGTGAATGAGTTGGTTTTCAAAATTTCTCTTTCAGAGGGGAGTCAAACATTTGATTCAAATGTTTGTCTCGGCTCACACCCAGAGTAGTGTTCTTGTCTGTGGATATTTGGTGGGTGAATTTGTATGGGAGGGGCAGGATGAAGCTGAAGCTGTACTACTTGGCTACCTTCCTGATGTCACCCACACTAATTATTTTTGGGTTGTTAATGTATATGTAAGTTAAGTTAATTTTGTTATTTATAAATTCTTAATATTCAAATGGTGTGTGGCCAGTAAGAATCAATTTTACAATCAGAAATTATAATAATTGCTTATAAACCATCCCTTCGGTGTCTGGTCCTTTCCATTTTTTTTTTGATCACCATCCCTTGCTTCAGGCTGGGTGCCACTCTTGTATATCCACTCACGTATGGCAGCTTCAAGACTGAATGACTTTACTAACCTTACTTTGGGTAAGATTCTAGTTTTTAGCCAGGAGGAGTGAATCTTTGAGGAAAACAAAAGAGCTGGTAACAGGAAAAGGGG